GCGCTTACTTCTTCTATCTGCCAGAATTTACGTACAGCAGCGTCAAGCGGGTCTGTAGCACAACAATATGAGACAGACGCGTGATTATCAACTAGAGCAGGAGCAGAGCCGACAATAACATAACCTAACACGGTCTCTAAAGCGAGCGGTGAGAGACAATCAGACTGACCTTGAACTTTACGAGATAAGAGAAGGTGAGGAAAGATTGATGCTCCAATCAACAAATCAATATCTCCAGGGGCAGCGTAGGTATCGTCAGCTAAAGGTAAATTATTAAAATTGATCAACGACGAAATATCCACAGACACAGTGGGCAAGCGCTCCGTGACCTTGTCGACTACGAGCGAGTCCATGCTAAAACACACACTGAGATCAAAGCGGGAAAAGAATTTCACCGAAACCGAACTTAGAATTGGCTTAGTAGTACCTCCAATCCCTTTAACCACTGAACATGAGGGTTTCTGGTTTGTCTCTAAACCCAACCGCTGGCATAAGCTGCGACTGGCGAAATTACTTTGCGAGGCACTGTCCAATAAAGCGCGCACATTATGTTCCCTACCTTGCGTATCGAAAACAACAACGCGTGCGGTAGCGAGTAACACCGTAGTAGGTGTGCGGGAAGCATTACAATTAGATAAGGAACACAATGTGACGTCATGGGGTTGCGTGGGTATCACCGAAGTTCGCCCTTTATTAGCGGTACTACTGTCAACCGAAGTGCTGGCAGTGGCAAGGCGCACAGTGGAAGCGGCATTGCGCAGCGTGGCAGCAGGTAAAGTGCGTGAAGTACTGTCACCAGACGTGGTGCCCGTGGCTGCGGCGCTGTTATTGTTATCAAAGTGTAGCATGGTGTGATGTAAATTATTACACCGGCGGCAGCGTGAAGAAGAGTTACAGGCAGTTAATCGGTGCTTCCCTAAGCAGTTCACGCACAGATTATTCGCCTTAACAAATTTAAAACGATCGTTAGCGGTCATGTTATGAAAAGTTGAGCATGTATACAAATGTTCGTGTCGCGTATTACATAGGGAACACACCGGCTGCGTAGGTGCAGTCGCCGTATTTAGGTATGTATGCGTTGGTTTTGAAATTTTGCTTGTCGTATCATATTTACGTTCCAAAGTTTTCTTAGCATCATATTTACCTGAAGTGCGTTGTAATATTTTTAGGTGTTCGCGAATAAAACTTATAAACTCGCTACATGTTGGTATATCCGAACTGCGTTTATACAGTTCGAATAAACGAACTGTTTCAATATCTATTTTTTTAAAGCCATATACATAAATATGAAATCGGCTAGGTTATCTAGCTTTAAATGCTCAAGAGCGGCAACTGAAGAAGAAAATGTTTCTAAAAATTGCTCAAGGTTATTTGCGTTTGCGATAGACATCGCCTTAATATCGTAAATTTGATCTAAATACGAGGTTGCGAGATAACGCTTGTCTTCAAATTTATCAATAAGTGTTTTATAAATTATTTGATAATTTTCGGCGCAAGGTGTAAGCCCGGCGCAAGCCGATTTTGCTTTGCCTGTTAGTTTTCCTAATAAGTAATATATCTTTTCACCGTCCGTAAGTGATTCATTTTCATGTATGGTAGTCTTAAAGTTATTATAGAATAAAGGCCAAGACCTGATATCCCCGTCGAAAGATACCAACTCGATAGGAGGCAAATAGGGCTTAAGTCTCCGCGGCGTATCCTTATCAGTTTTATTAGCACTACAGCTGTACAGTGAAACTAAGCGCTTGACGCGGCTGTAAAGCCGCTCGAATGCAATTAAACTTTTAAATTCCGAAGTCGCCTTAGGATTTAAAGATAACAAGCGATTATTATAATCATCTAAGATTTTAATAAAGTCTGAGCGTAACGTTTCAATATTACTACTCGCGTCGAGAAAGTTTTCCCTCATCAAAGGGTCACAATCCGCATCTTTAGATAAGTCAAATACCTCTTGTAAACAAATGAATATTGTATTCCGTTTTTGTTCTAATAATACGAGTTGTATATCTACAGCTAGATCTGTAGATTCCGAAAGCTTATCACTCTTCGGCATTTTTAATTTAAAATAGCGGTAAAATTATAGTTATTCAATATAATAGAATAGAAAAGCAATTAAGAATAATTAGGTATAAAGTTTACTGAAGTGCAAATATGTTGCAGTGACCGACAAACTATGCCAAGGTCACGCGTACGTTTAACAAAGCGATGCAATTAATGATCGAAATGTTATAAGCATAACATTACAATTGCTTAGCTAAATTATTATACTAAGCGAAAATAAGCGGAGCGTAGGTAAAAACTTTAAGCTAAGAAATATATCTCGGCTCGTTTGGACCAACTTTTAATGGAGACGCGGGATGTTACTTTGTAAAACTTTATACCTATAAGCTAAATATTTGAAGTGGTTATATAGTGGACTGTATTTTTTTCTTATTGATACCTAATATGATTGCTCAATAATGGACAATGGGAAAAGAAAGAAAGGATGTCGGCACAGTACCTTGAACCTCGTGGCTTCTTCTAGTGGCTTCTTTCCTTTGTTGTACACCAATGAACAATCACTTTCACAAATTATACTTAATCAAGTTAAAGTTAATTGAATTTAAGTATAGTTAAAGTTTATAATAAAAAATTAAATGTTTAAAAGAAAAAGGAAGCGTTGCGAGCGTGCGGCGAATAATCAACCATATCGCGGGTCATCAAAATTGTCACTAATTAATTCTTATTAGAGACTCATCGTCGTGCGCGCCACCTAAAGCCCGTTCCGGAACTAGTACCGTCATAGGATTGGGACATAAAATAGGTGGGTGATGAGACATGCGTCTAGGAGCTATTAGGATGGGTATATGTATTGAGCAACCATTATTTAAAATCAAAATTATTATAAAAATAACAATCCGGCGCAACCAGTGACTATGGAATAGTCAATGCTCCCTGGTACAATCATATGGTGTAATGGTTGCAGCTCCTTACAAACGTTGTGTAATACAAAAAACTTGGCGATTAAAAAGAATGACGGAGAGTTTATTGCCAGTTCTTCTCTTCCGTTCCCTTGATTTGAGAACTGGCAGTAAATGTAAAATTAGAACCATTTAATGTATATTTCTTTTTTGACGTTCATAAGTGTACATTGTGTTAACTATATAAATAAATGATTTTTGACTTTTGTTTCGCAATAGGACCACAATGTGCAGGACGTCGCCAGAATCATTAAAGAAGAAAGCCAAAAAATGGCTGGAGCCCTCGAACAAAGGCTCCACCAACTCTTGAATGTCGAGGCTATTCAACTTCTTGACACCTAGGCCCGTGGTGGTGGCCTCAGAAGATTGAAAAGGACATTTGAATTAGTGAATTAGTGTTAGTGCACGTTAGTCTTAAGTGCTAAACAGTGGTAAGTGAAACAATAGAACACAAGAACAGCCCTGCGATTCTGTAACTCACTTTTCGAACTCACACAGCGGTTTTCGCATCGGCGGTCGCTCTCAAATCAGTGGTGAAGCAGTAATTTTATGATTTGACATTCTGATAAACAATAAACTACAAGCTCCCACCTTTTCAAAATGCCAAATCATAAAATTACTGCTTCACGACTGATTTGAGAGCGACCGCCGATGCGAAAACCGCTGTGTGAGTTCGAAAAGTGAGTTACAGAATCGCAGGGCTGAGTATCTTTCCCTTGATAGAAACTGTATGTAGTGTTATTGAATACTTTCTTATGTTAAATTACTTATTAGTCTTAAGTTAAGTCGTAATGTTCCATGATGTCTCAGTGAAGAGAAAAAGTAAAAAAAAACTTAAGAATGTGTGTGAGAATTCGACAGTTTAGGACGGTATAATTCTTATTTGCGTAATTTAATGTATCCTCTAATACTTTTTAATATTCAATATACTTATTATATATAAGATGATTATCATCGGACTATAATGATGTATGACCCATATCAACACAGCAAAAAAGGTACTTTGGCAAAGCTGCGACTTCAAATCAGTTCTCTTTCCGCACTATAATTGGTTCAACATTCTTATAAGGAGGGAGCTTGTACTTTATTGTTTATCAGAATGCCAAATCGTAAAATGACTGCTTTACGACTGATTTGAGCGCGACCGCCGCTGTGAAAACCGCTGTGAGAGTTCGAAAAGTTAGTTACAGAATCACAAGGCAGTCATTAAATACATAGTATCCATTATTTTAAAGTAAAGTCCTGTCTAAGTAGATATGAAGATTACTGAATAATTTTAGGTTATCTAGGATCAATAGGTGATTTTATTTGATAAATATTCAACTTCAGATAAATGATTATTATTTTCAAAATACAAATTAAATTCTTCAACATGGCCCCGAAAAATTTTAACTTGATTTCAGAAGTTAGTCACAAAAAGCGTCAGAATTGTGAAATCAAAATTTTCCTAAAATTATTCGGCGAATTCGCAACAATTTGCATCATGTTGTTAATATTTAACATCCCAAGGGACTTAGTAGATGTACAATTTTAAATAAGCCATAATGATTTCTGCATAAACTTTTTCGAGTATATTTCGCATAAATGCTTTATATTTTTCTTATAAACGGGTAGGAGGCTGATGTTAAGTGAAACCGCCCATGGACACTTTGGATGGATCGCGAGTGCGTTGCCGGCCCTTTAAGAACGCCTAAGGCCTTGGGTCGCTCTTTTTTTAAGGATCTTCTTTTTTGGATAATGAAACTCAGCTGCAGGTATTAATCTGAATTTTCTGAATACTTTTCGTGGTAAATGCGGTAGAAGATGCAGAGTGACCCCAACGAACGCAACGTGACGCAATGCTATATACAATATTTATTAATTTATTTTTGTATAAATATTGTATTAATTATGTACATAGTTTTATAGTATTTGTTGGGAAGCAAATTTGAACATTTGTAAATATCATATAAAAGGGAAAATCTACATTTAAAAGCACGAAATTCCAAGAAAAAGAAACCTTTGAGTGAATGTGTACTTTTTATTTATAGATCTGTGGCTTTATAAATCATTTTCATACTCGCTCTCTTTCAGCAGCGGCTTCTCAGTCTGCTTCGCCTTCAATAGCTGCATCAGGTCAACCTTCTGCATTGTTACTCTTACCAAGTCCTTTAAAATCTTTCTTATATCCGTATCTTGAGATATAAGGCTCTTAATGTTTTCTTTTGTCAATCCAAATTCTCTTCTAGCAAAAAATGGGTTTTGATTTTGTACGCGCGGCCGGGTGGCTCGAGCTGGCTCAATTTTCTTCACTGGTGTGAACTGGGGCTGTCTCATTTGAGGCTTTTGTTGGTTGCAAGTGCTTGACTGTTGACACTCCTCTCCACAGCACATAGAACAACACATTTTGCATTCTTGGGGCTTCTTGGTTGTCGGTGGTTCAACGGCTCTCATTTGTACTGCCGCTGGTTGGTCGCGTTTATGCTTGCAATCCTGGTAGTAGAGGACGTTTTCTATACTTTCTTCGGAGGAGGAATCTTTGTATTTCCGCTTGCATACTACTAATGTTAAGTGAAGTGCAAGTATTGTCTGAAAGAGAACATTGTAAGTAAGTATGATAAGTAAGATGGGTCTTACGACGATTTGTGTAGCAAGGTGTACCACATACCTATAAGAAAGATATTTTTTAAGTAATTTTTTTTTATAGAACGGGGGATTGATTAATTGGTTCGGGAATACTTCAGTGGGCAGCTGATTCCACATAGTGTAATGAAACTGACCATTATACTTTGGTAGACATGTGTATAAAGTCAGCGACATGATGATTTTATAAATTGCAATATATACCGACTGCCCATGACACATGTGTATAGTAGTGGTAGTATGGTATTGTATGGCATATCGTATATAGGACTTGGGAACGGTATTGATTTGAGGAATTTTATTTTCATGATTGTATTTGTATCTTATTACCAGTCCTTCAATTGTTTTTAAATAGAAAAATATACAACTTATTTTCAAGTTTTCTAAAACTACCAATGTGCTAACCAGCAAATAAGACTTCTTTAATCACAAAGTTTCAATATTATTCACAATCCTTTCTGAAGCCAAGTCGCCAAGCAAGCGCCGTTCTTTAAATATTAAATTATAATTACAGATAATTCATTAAAGCTGAATAACAGCAAATTAGCCAATTATGTAACACGTACCACAAATAAAAACTGCATTCTTGTTCATAACACTGAAACTAACTGCAACTTTCAAAAACAAAGCACTTGTTTGAGTAATGTTATCGATGTGTTTGTTTTGAATGTTTCAACTTGACTTATACTCGTAAAACTAAGAGCAGTGCCTAGTGGATTGAGCATACACCACCTGAAGATTTTTCGTTCTACGTACGCCAAACTTTCTCAACACTAGTTCGATACCGACGTGCCTGAAATAATTACGGCCTGTGTCAGGCACAAGGCTGGTCACCTACTTGTCTATTACGAAAAATAAATGATCACATATAGATGACATTTAAAGGCCGGCAACGCACTCGCGAGCCCTCTGGCATTGAGTGTCAATGGGCGGAGGTATCACTTAACATCAGGTGGCGGCATTGGCTTTTTATAGACGGTGCTGAACACAGACAATTTTAAATTAAATACAAGGAATAGGTTCATTTAAATTAAATGATTTACAATTTCTATAGATTTCTTTTTCTTTTACTAAGTAATACGTTAGTAAAATGCCCATGGTAATTAGCATGCTCATGGTGGCATGTTCTGACAGCCATACTAGATTATATTATTTGCAATATACATTTTTACAATAAAACGCTTTTGTATTTTTATTTTAAACTAAAAATCCCAACACAAGATAAATGCTTCCTTATTTGAATTATCTCAAAATTGACAGTAAGAAAAACATTTACAGGAATTTCCTATTAGTTTCCTTTAGTTCAGTATTGGCAGGTTTGAAAATCCCATGACGGCGATACCATTGAATTCGTTCCACAATTGAATTATACATCGGAAAGTAGACATTCTTCTTTCCTATTTCCTGCTCGTGTTCTTCATCGCAATAGTATTGCCACCATGGCAGCACTAGAACGTCTCCCCCCGCTTTTTCTCATAAATTGACAGAAGTCCTTGTCAGGTAACGTAACGTATGACAGTTCTTGTCTATGGACCCTCGGCACAGCCCCATTAGTTGATTTCCAGATTTTGGTGGAAACGGAATAGAGACACAGCAAGAGTACGATTACCTAAAGAATACCATGATATGATTGTAAGCAAATATTGCCTAGTGGACTTGCCGGTATCTATACAATGTAGGCCCACAAGTACGTGTTGAATGTGCACATAGAAAGGAAAATCTCACAAGACCTGAATGATGAGAGACGAACTCTTTTACATCATATATATATATATATATATATATATATATATATATATATATATATATATATATATATATATATATATATATATATATATATATATATATATATACATCATATTTTTTTTTAATGTTTTTTTATGTAGGATAATTGGTGTAGGAATGTATGTATTATTGTGTCGTTCTATCGTATTAGTATTAACTGTTAAGATAGAATAATGATGTGGAAATAAATAAGTAAATATATATATATTTAATTATAGCCAATTAAACACCTAAGAATGGTACTCATTGTCACTAAATAACACAAGACAAATTTTAAAACATAACTAACAAATTTACTTTCAATAATTAAGTAAAAAATTGTTGAACAATAATCACCTTTGTTTTCATAGTCAAAAATATTTAAGTTTACCTAAGATTTTATTACTGATTAATTTTAAAACTATTAAAATTAATGGGCGTTAAATCGGATATAAAGTTTTTATGGTTTTATAAATGGAAATTTTCCTGACAATTAACACTAAATGTGTGTTTTGCTACAACGCCATCTTAGGCGCAAACAATTTGACATACCTCGCATATAAGTTTTTAAGTGTTTATTTTTTTATCTATATAAAAAGACAGATAATATATATTGGTAAAAAGGTTCATAATTATTTGCGTTGTTATACTTTTAAGCTATCTCAGAAGTAGGTAATTAAAAATGTACAATACAAAAGAATAAATTAGTCTATATTATGCACTTTCTTGGCCACTATTATTCTTCGTCTATTATGAAGATTTTGAATTTAAAAATAGAATAGCTTTCGTCATAATTTTAATTAAAAAAGGTAAAAGTATAATTATTTTAACTTTTATACAAAGATATAATGCTATTATTTTGATTTATTTATTTATTTATTTATTTATTTATTTATTAAGGAACACCAACAGATTACATGTATATATTTTCTAATTAACAATATTGGGTTTTGTTCTAGCATGCAATCTAATAATAGGTGTACACAACATTGACTCTAATAAATGAAAGCGGACAGAGTTTACTTAAGTATTTGTATCTTTAAACATAGATAAATTGAAACGTGGTAAATATTACATGACTTATGGCTGAGATGACTGAATTTTCTTCTTAAAACTAGGAAGTGAGTCATAATACACGTCAAGACTATGTCTACAACTACATTGGTTAAAATTCCTAAGCATTCTACTGAGGGGCGCATGTTTACCTAGATTGGTTAAGGACTGTGGAACGACAAAAGTATCAGTCTGTCTTCTTCTTGCGTTGATTCTAGGCACTACGAAGTAAATCTTTTTTTAAAATATCTGGACAAATAATCGTGCCGTGCATCAACTTGTACAAAAACACCAGGTCCACAATCATACGACGATCCTCGAGAGTTTGCAAATTGAACTTCTGTAATCGATCAACATAATCCCTTCTGTAGCAAAATTTAGGGGTTTTGTACGCCAGGAACCGTGTGAATGTTCTTTGAGGACGTTCTAGTGCATACTTGTGTGTTTGGTATGTGGGATTCCACACAACACTAGCGTACTCAAGGTGGCTGCGCACCAATGCATTGTACAGAGTAATAAGAGTTTTAACATTCTTAAAGTCAGTGGTATTACGCCTAATGAAACCGAGCATCTGAAATGATTTCGCTATAATTATTTCGTGGTGAGGAGTAAAACTGAGAGCACTATCCAGCGTCACACCAAGGTCTCGTATACGATCAACTTCCTCAAGAGCAACTCCATTAATTGAGTAAGAAGATTGGAATAAGTTTTTATTCCTAGTAAATTTTATATGAAAGCATTTACCAGCATTTAAAATCATGAGGTTATTTTTACACCAAGTGTGTATGGCAAGTAAATCCTTTTGCAATAGAGCAATATCATTCGTTGAAGTTATTGTCTTAAACAATTTCATGTCATCGGCAAACAATGAACATTCACTATAATGAACATGATCTACTATATCATTTATAAATAGAATAAATAAAATTGGCCCGAGGTGAGAGCCCTGAGGCACGCCTGAAGTTGCCACATACGGTTTTGATGCATAACCATTTGTCACCACTGTTGATGATCTGAATTTAAGGTACGATGCAAACCAAGAATGTAAGGATCCGCAAACACCAAATGTAATTAATTTTTTTAATAATATATGGTGACAAACTTTGTCAAAGGCGCTACTAAAATCAGTATATATCGCATCTACTTGTATCCGCTTATCAACATGCTCCATGAGAGTTGTGACATAAGGAACCAGGTTCGTAGACACAGATCTGCCGCGCTGGAAACCATGCTGTCTCACACTTATCATAGGTTTAACGTGATAAGTGAGAATTTCACATATAACTGACTCAAACAATTTTGAAAACGTGCTCAGAATCGAGATAGGTCGGTAGTTTTTTACGCTTTCCCTTTCACCCTTCTTATATACTGGGATAATACGTGCTTCTTTCCAAATAGTAGGAAATATTCCTTTGTCCAGGGAAGAATTAAAAATAAGAGTAAGAGGGAAAGCGAGCTCGGCAGCACACCTCTTCACGAAAAGGGGTGGTAGACCGTCTGGCCCAGCGCCCTTTGTAGGATCCAGTTTTTTTAAAGCCTTTAGTATGGTTGCCTCTTGGAAAACTATTTTGCTTAATAATAGGTTAGCCATGATATAATCAGGATGGGTATAAGCAGAGGCAGTACTATTATTCAGTTCGTAGACATCGTTATTGAAAGTCGATGAAAAGTGTGTGGCGAACAAATTTACTATTTCATTGCCCGTTGAGCCAGTCCCACTGTCATGTTTCATGAGCGATGGCAACGCATTTGAATTTTTTCGTCTTTCACTGAGGTATTTCCAGAATTTTTTGGGATCTTTATTTATGGCCTCCTCTGTGTTACGTATATAGGCCAAGTAACACTCTGAATAATGCTTATTACATCGTTCGCGTAGAATTTTGTACTCAAATTCATCACGGGGGTTATTGTACTTACGTGACCGACGCCTAAGTTTATTCTTTTCCGAGAATAATTTTCGAAGTGAATTATTAAACCAGGGTGGGTAATTATGAGATTTTCGATGAAATTTAGGAACGTGTTGTTTGATTATACTATTAATATGTTCATAAAAGATTTCAGTCATCTCATCAATACTATTTGTCACAGAGAAAACGAGACGCCAGTCGATCCCACGCAACTCTTTAAATATCATCGAATAATCAGCCCGGTAAAAATTAAAACCAATGTGCGGCAACTTCGGCAGAAACGCGACTGTTAAATCCAGAACCACAAACAACTGAGGGTGATGAGCATCAAGCTTACTTATAAGATCCACTGGCCTCTCGAGTGTTGCGTTAGCCACATTTGTGAATACTAAATCTAAAGTTCTATTATTAAAGTTTTTAACATAGTTCAATTGCTTTAAGTTATTTAAGTTAACAAAATCTACCAACGCATATCCAAGAGGGTATTCATAATTTGTTGGTAGGACTGTATCAAGATTGTCATCACGAGACCAAGATATATATGGCAAGTTAAAGTCACCAGCAATTACTACTGCATCCAG